TTCCCGGTCGGGGCCCCTCCCCGGGCAGATGGAGCTCGTTAGCCCTGTAAGGCAATCCATCTACGTCCTGAGGACCTCGCTGCCACCGTCCAAGCGTGCTTGGCCCCGGCAGATGAACCTCAGGATTAAAGGGTGGGCTCAGTTCCGCGCACACTGTGTCTCACCTAAAAAATCCAATGCGCAGGCTGGGAGGTGGAAAGACCTTCCCCGGTTCTTCGTTCGCGAAGAGACTGGCCATTCATTCATATATATATACACACACATATATATATATAGTCTTCAAAACCCTGTTTCCCAGTAGACACTTGAAAACTGCCAAGAAATAATCCTTTAGGTCACAGAATTGCTGCTTCCTTGTTTGATGAAATTGCATCCAATTTGTGCTTCACATACACAGAAACAATTCAGAATTACCTCTTTCATTTTCTTCTTACGTTTGCACTTTTCGGGGAATTTTTGGCATTTAGCCAACATGGCAGGAACACTCTAAGATCTGTCTCTTGCTGTTGCCAAAGCAGCAACAGCAGCTGTGCATTTAGCTCTGGGAAAGTCTGAAAGATACCAAATCCATTTTAATGAAAGGAATTAAACGTAGACAGGGGAGAAATCTATTTTTGTATTTTTTAAGAGATATCTATTATTACAGGTTTTTCCAGCATCTTCCCACACCATATGTAGTATTTCTCACTCATTCACTTCTTTGGGTATAATATTCCCTTGTTAACTGACGTAGACTTCAGTATATAAAACTGTATGTTTTAAAGGCTGAGATTTCAAATCATAATGATAACTCATTGGTAAAAAAATAGTCTAGATGTTGTTTGAGTGTTGCATTTTTTAACTTTGAAATTAGAAAAGCATTTAATACTTCTTTGCTTATGAACAACCTTTTTAAATTAGGTTGACTTAAACTGAGAACCTTTCTTAAAAGAGCACTCTCTCATTTAGGAGCCTGGGAAACTAGCTTAGAATAGACTTCTGAGTTCTAAGCATTTTGGTGGAATGAGGTTCAGTTAATATACAGGCTATTTTTTTCAGGACTGAGGACTGTGTTTCTGAATGTCAACCAGCAGTGGAAGGTACACTTGCTTTGTTAAGCTCATGGCAGCCAATGTCAAGATAAAATGGTTAGCATGCCAAGAGCAGTCTGATTGTTTGTTCTACTCATACCTAAGTTACGTGCATTAGGTTTTGGCCTGGTTTTGACCTGATTAGAAACAGCAATATTGATATTGAAAAAACCTCCATAGAATAGACTACTTTTAAAATGAAGTGTTATGTATGGAAATGTTGGATTTTTTTAATCCTGGAAAGACATTTATGCAGTGCCAACTTGTCTGGATGGTGCAGCAAATGCATACATAATTAGGACTTAAATATACTTTTTTTTTCAGTCAAAAGATGATTTAAACAGGGTGTATGGCTAAAATGCAGGAAACTTGTATTTCAGAGAGACTTACCTACAGAATCCAGCAATATAAGTCGAGCATGTAGTTCTAGTAGCATTCCAGTTTCTCCTGGTGAGTATTAATGATTTTCCTTTTAATTAACATAAATATGCTAAACACATCTTACTGACCTTGACTAAAATACCAATTTTAGGTAGATATTGCAATTTAGTGACCTCTGAATTTAAATCCATACTGCAGATTAGAAGTTAACCTCCTCATCATTTCATGTCTGTAATTTGTTGCTTAGAAGATTTATCGACTCTAGCTTAATAATTAATAGTTACAAAAAGCTACTAAAAATATTAAAGATACAAATTTAGTTAAGATGCTGTTGCTAAGGTAGTGAAAGACAACGTTATCTGGACTTTAAAGTGGTTACTATACACTATAGCAGTTGAATCTACACTATTCATAAGCACAGAAGGAATTATTTTTGCTTCCACTGGTTTTATGATGCTGTTTTCTAGTTTTATAATGGCGCTCAAGATAGGTCAGAGCCTTTTCATTTATAATCTGTATTCTTTTTCAAATTGCTGCTGAATGTTGTCTATATTTCATCCCTTTGAACCATTTAGCAGCCATCCAACTGACATTTTTGCTAAACTTTCTTATTTTGAAGAGAAGACATAATCTTTTTCTTCTATTTTCAACTCAATTTTGATAATGTACAAGAAGTAAATGAAAAAGCCTTAAGTGGGAAAGAAATTAAAAACATTGCCCAGGTCATAAGTAATTTTTCTGTCTTCCTCAACGGTAGCTCTTTATCCCTTACCTTGCATCATTCACTTCATTATTTGGCCTTTTTGCCCATGTGGCAGCTGTTATTCCTTCCCCCAGTGTTAAGGAGGAGATGCTATTTTCCATTCTCACATATTTGGCGTTTTTTCTAGTGTTGGGCTGTTGCATTGCAATTAACAGGGAATCTCAGTAATTTCCATGGAAATTAGGAAGCCAGTTTCTTGATTATATCAAGGTTTGTTTTTATTTAGTAGTCTCAGATAAGGGACCCTCATTTTACAGGACAAAGAAAACTTGCAACATGTATACTGCCTTTTGTAAGTTTGGTGTTCTATTACTGACACTTGAGTACTTTTTATCAGTAAACAGGCAGATGGTCTTTAAAAGAGAATTTTCGTATTTTTAAACTTCTTGAGTTCTTCTGATTTTGTTACTTCTGTTTTTCTAAAATTCAAGAAATTTTAGGCATACAAGTTAATGGGGCCAATCTTAACTCTTTTATCTGAGATGTACAGTGCAGGAATGCTTTCATGCTCTTTTTGGTTGTAGTGCATTTCAGAAATCACAGCTGTACAGAAGAAGCAATTTTTAATTTTAATTGCTTAAAATTAGTTAATTTGATTTTTAGACGCAGTAGTGTAGCTAAGCATGTTCCAAAGGTATCATCTGTTGGTGGTGACCTTACTAAAAATAAGGACATGGGAACACTTTTTTTCCTAGATACTAACTTCTCTTTCCTCACAAATTTTAGTAATCTAAAATTGCAAAGAATATCACAGCCTTCCCAGTGTAACAGAAAAAAAATTCTGTTTCTGCTGAAGGGTTGCAAGGGAAGGAAAGCCAGAAAAGGGCAAGAGCTTGATACAAATTTTAATCTAAGCAAGAAGATGATCATTTTTTATAATGTTTCTGCTACTTATAAGACAGGTTACTTAGCACAAATCAAAGATGTGTTTGAACAGGCAGTTTACAAAAAAAATAATGTAAACTATATGGAATCACTATTAAAAGTTGACACTGTAATCAGATGTTCATAAGTTTTGATTTTTCTGTAATCAGGATAAAATAATCTTCCTAGTAATCTTTTTGGAATTTGCTTTGTGTATATTATAGTAATACGACGTTTATCTTGTTTTAAAAAAATTAGAAACCTATTTTGAACTCTTATAGTGGCTTTTCCTATTCCCTCTCTAAACAATGCATTCTCTTATGTTATTACATACTGTAAATCAAGTTTTTTGATAGCTGACCTTGCAAAAGGGAGCAAAAAGGCAAAGGTGACACAAAACTGAGTATTTCTCTATAGATACAGAGAGGAATGAGGAGATGCCAGAGAGTCATCTTCAGTCCTCTGGATGCAGTTCACTATTATCCACAAACCCATCTCCCAAAGCCATGGCCATTAATTCTCATGATCTGACAGACATTTCAAAGGTACGTAAAACTGGGGAATGCTCGGTTGATTTCCTTTCTGAGGTCAAGAGAACAAGTAAGCATTGGTTTTAGTTGTATATACTACTAGTGAAAAACAAGGAAACTAAGCAAAACTACATCTAGGTCTGTCTCATAAAAATACTTTTGATATGTAAACAGTGCTTAAAGTCACATTTTCTCTGAATTTTTAAGTTGAAAGTCCATCTGAAGAATGTCAGCTTTGAAGAGTTCACTAACTTTGTTGCTTTTAAATTGTAGGAGACAATAAGACAAAGAATGGAAAAGATAAGTAAAATGTAAGTAATAGGAAAGGGCAGCAGGAATTTATTTCCCAGGAGGGAGTTGTGCTGGACTAAGGCATATAGAGAATGTACACGTGTGTTCCAAACCTCAAAGGTCTCTACATCAGGTGTGGCATTTCCTTATGACTCCACTGGATAATAAATCCACTTACAGTTCTGTATTTGTGGGATGAGTTGCTGTTTTGGTTTCTAAAAAGCAATAGAAAGCATTCTTAATAGTATTAACTAAAGATTAAAGAGTGTTTAGAATTTGGTTGATAAAAAATAGGAATAGTATTTATCTTCTGATAAGAATACTCTGGTACTTGCAACTTTTCTTCCCGAAAAATAAGTACATTATCTTAACTCTGCTTTTTATTATTTAAGGAAAAGTAAAACCAATTTCAGCTTAAGAATTATGATAACTTTATTAAGATGTACTTTAGATCTGTAATAACTTTTCGGTAAGAAATATTTTTATTACACTTGAAGAGAAATGCATTATTGTATAATGTTTCTTTAGGAAGAGATTCCTATAAGTGGCTGGCCTGTAAAAAGGCTAACCTTTTCTGTGATTTTAATTGTAATGTGTGGGTTGCCTCTTTCTTTATGTGTATGTAATGTTTATTGATATGTGGTAGGCATTTAAAATACAAACCGCTTGCAGAGGAAAAGGGGAAATTAGAGAAAACTTTTGGTTTCATGCTGCTTGTTAGTATTTTGGATAAATAAAAAGTTAAAGGCAAGACAGTTATTTCTTACATGATTATGTAAGCATGTGTAAACAAAATTCATTTTCAGAATTGAAGAAACCTTCAACTTGTTGAAAACATCAAGCCCACCCCTGAGAACACCTGAAAGCACAGGTCATGAGACCTGGTCTCTGCAGACTTATGGATACCAGGAGTAATATATATGTTTATACAGCATTAAATTTTTTTAAATATCAAATTTGTAATGATCACCAATGCTTTTATTACTTTGAATAAATATTTTTCTGATGTATCTGTGTATTGATTTCCCTCCCCCTGACCCCAATTTTTTGTTTTGAAAACTGTTCAAATAGCTTCTCCCCCCCTTCCCTGCACTTCTGTAAATTGAAGTCATTACAGCAGTGTATTCTTGTGTTGACATTTGTTAGCAGTGTGCTAAGTAATATGTTTTTTAAAGTGCAAGCTTGAGGACCGTGGTTTACATCCTGTTGGAAACATTCCAGCTGGAACTTGCACATTACACCCAAGAGGCATTCTTACATACCATCTTACCATCTGTACTGTTGAATAAATCTTAATAAAAACTTGTATACACAGTTTCAAATACGTACCTTTTTTGTGGGTATTTTTTTTTTTTTTAAATATAAGTTTTCGTACTGAGCTGGAGAGCACCAACACTTTATGGCTTCCATTAACACTGACAAAGTGGGGGTCAGTTTGATCCTAAACACTAAAATGTGCAAGTATGTCCACAGACTTTGACTGCAATAGATGTGCTGAGTGTTTTAATGCTCTTATCCAACATATTTTAAGACCAGCAGCACAGATGGAGACCAACCAGTATACAAAGAAACACGACATTTTCATTATTTGAAGCCATACTAAGATTTCTGTTTAGAGACATAAGTAGATGTAAGACTTCCATAAACATAATAAACACCAAAGGTGTGTGAGGTTTGATAAGATATATTTATTTGCTTATTACTTTTTGTAAATTGGTAGTCTGTCACATCAAGGTTTCTTTGTTCTTTAATGCTTCCCTTGAAAAGATATTTGGAGTTTAGTATTACAAAACCACTTTTTTTATTATTATTATTTTTTTCAGAGTTTGCAGATAAAGGCAAAAGCAGCTGTTTGACATGTTGTAAAAAGTGATTTTTACGTTTTAACAATAATTATTTTTTTCTATAACCATTAAGAATATAAATTGACTTTATTTTACGTACGAACAGAATAACTTACAGTGATCCATTTTGTTATATAAAATGTAGTTGAGGTTTTTTTTGACTTCTGCAACTTTTTCAGTTGTTTAAAAAAGAAAAAATAGAAAAGATAGGAAACTTAGATTATATGAATTGCTCCTTATTTGAAAATGGACCTTGCAAATCACTCTTCATTATTCTAAAATGAAATGAAATGAAATTTTCTAAATGTTTCTAAAAAGAGCAGTTCATGTTTCTAAAATAGGACTACAGCACCATCTTGTGGAACTCTTTATACAAAGTAATTATCAAAGGAGTAAAAATTAATATTGCTACAGCAGTGATAAAATATTTTTAATTATTGTCTCTCTCTTATTTTTCCTCTTTGCCTTGAAGTCCAAGGGGCTTTTATGTTAAGTAAGATATTTATTCTCTATGAAATTTGATTATATTTCTGGCAGGGACCAGAGGAATGAGTCTGTTGTTTGTTTATGTCAAGGCAAAAATGAGAAGTGGTAGTCAGTATAACTGATTCAGGTTACAGTGATTTATCACTGAATGCCTCTGGGCAATGCAGCAAGTGTTAAATCTTTCTGTATATGTGCAATTCAGTATCATCTCTGTTTAGTGCTACAGAATTGAAAATCCAGAGCTTCTTCCAACAGCTTAAATGCTTAAACAGTAATGAAAAGCTAAAATCAAGAATATGGACAAACTGAAGTTTGAGAAGTGCATTATTGGCTTGTAAAAGTTAATTTTTCTGGAAGAAAAGATGATCAAAATATATGAGAAGCTACTGGTATTTGTGGAATTTATGTAGTAACTTTTTATTAGAGATGCTTTAAATTTATCACTAATCATTAACGAACAGGGTTTGAAACAGTTCTTTCTATCAGCTGCTTGTTTAAACACTGGAAGTTAACCACGATTTTGAACAAGGGGCATTGTAATACATTCTACCTTAAAATTATTTATTTGTGAATTATTTACAGTTATCTTCCCAAACACTTTATGCCACCTGTAGTTCCTGTTCCGGTTTTTTCCTAGGATCTTTAACTCTATGGTAAAAATAATCGTGGTTCACTTATAACAGTCAGATATCAAATTATGCTTCTTCAGGAGAGGTCTTGTATATGCAAAAATTGTTTAATAATAGTATGTTGCTTCTGTGTTATCTAGGCAGATTTCTGTGCAATAGAAGTCTGTGTTGTAGTATTCATAGGGTACTTAGGATGATGCAGACTACCAGCAATGTCAGATGAGCAATCAATACAAGGTACTAATTAAAACACTTTTAACTTGAGTGTTCCAAATGGGGAAAAGGAGTCATACCAAAACTATAAAATGCCTTCACCTGAGCATCCTACAGATTGTTTAATGAGGTGTAGTAAACGTAGTAGCTCTGTTTAGACAATGGGACCTTATCTGAAAGATACTGTGTAGTCGTTTCAAAACTTACTCTCCGTAGATTATCAAGAGCAGATGCTTGATTTGGAGGTAGTGAGGCTTTTTACTCTCTGGGAGCAAACTACTCTAGTTACAGGTTAAGAACAATTAGCAGTAGTGTGAAGCACTGATGCTCTAATACATCACTATGTGTTGGGTTTCCCCTCACCTTTCCTTCTGCATTTATTGTAAAGAAAACTTCTGCTGTAAAGAAAAATCACTTGATGATAGGCTCCAGAATCAACAGAAATATAATTTTGCTACTGTTAGGTTTATAGTGATTAATTTTTAGCATAAGCAATGTCAAGAATATCATGCCTCAGGGTATTTTAACAAAAGGTGCAATTATATTTCTGAAACATACTGCAAGGTTTTCATAAACTTTCACGTTTGCCTGTCTGTTCTCTTCTTACCTAGTGTTGCTTCACTGCAGTGCGTGTTGAAATATGAACTGGGATTAAGAGAACTGCAGTTAGAGAGCCTTGAATACTTTCCCTGAATGCTGAGAATAGTTTCACAAAGCTGAAGTTTTTGGCAGCTTAGGGGATTTCCTCCTGGTGTTGCTCATTCCCATCTGTCTATGTTATGAACTGTGTTTTGTAACTGATGTGACTTAAGTATATTCTTCTGAAAATACATAACAAGGGGTGTTGGCTGTTCTTTTGGGGTGGTTGGGGTGGTCTTGTGGTTTTTTGTTTGTTTGTTGGTTTTTTTTTTTTCCTGATTCACATCCATTCCATGATCCAGCTTATGATGCTGCACACAAACATTTGTGCCTGAGCTTTCAGTTGGAGTAGCATGCTCTGCTGTCAGAAGGTAACTGGGCAGAAGAAGAAAGAATGGGTCAAGTTGGTGTTTTACTGCTCATCGTTTTTTTTCTCTGAGCCTGTAGGGAGCTAGAAGTGAAGAAATTCCCAAGCAAACTCCCAATGTACGTATTCATGAAAACTTGTTTATTTTTGAACTGACTAAATGAAAGGGCAAATGTGTGTCTGAGAAAAACATGTGAAATAGGATTAAAGGAAATCTAAGTCTACAATTTGGAATTGGGTCAGTTTTCAGGTGTTAAAATAGCTCTTTTTATTACATGTGTTTTGTGATTTCTTTTTTCTGGCCAGTTTTTATGGATTTAGTCATATTTTTAGTATGTTAAAAAAAAAAAAATTCAAAAACTTCTGTTGCTATGTAAAAGGACCGTAAAATATACAGGCAAATGCAATTCTTGGGAAATATTTTTGAAACCTTTTGTATTGTGTAATAAACATGTATGAATGTGTAATGCATTTAAAATAATTTCACATAGGCGATCACACTGTATTACAAAAATATGAAACAAATTTTTCTTTCAACCTTAGCTTAACTGTGAGTGATAAGCTAGATAATATAGTTAATGAAGTTTGAAGCATTTAATTGCTAACAATTTAAGCAAGTTTTAATATACATGAAGACTCTTCAGTTAGTTTTAGCAATGTGTGTTGGTTTGCTTCATAGGTGATCAAGTAGAACACACTATGCCTTTCCTGTCCTAATGATGTGATCTGGGATTGTGTAGTATTTGTCATTGCATAAATCATTTGTAGTAATTTTGTTGTCTGCTTTCTCCAACTGTAAAATTAAGTGATTCTCCTTGTTTTTCTCCTGAGAATATTATGTGGTTTGGTTCACTGTTTATGCCCACTTTAACAATTACTTAGGGAAAAAACTAATGGAAAAAATGTAGTCTGGTTTTAAGAGTTCTTTTAATTGAAACCATTCCATTGGAACATTTTGAAGGAACTAAGAGTAAATTCATGAACTTGAGCTTGTGTATTGGTGTTAACCTAAGCTCCATCTTCCTGTCGTTATAAAAGTAGTTGGCAGCTGTGATAATTTCAAATAAAGTAGTTGTGCCTTTGTATGAATTATGGGAAAATAGGTGCTGATATGGAAGGAGATAACTAGCCTGAATATCAAGTTCCATTTTAAGCTGAGATATAAGAATTTAAGACCAGTGACTCGAATTTTTCTCTAGGTTTTTTTCATATATCACTGTTGAAACATTTCTGTATTTTCTGTACTACGTATAGCCTTTTTCCTGAAGATATACCAGCAATTCATTGCTGTAAATATGGTGATCAAAGGCATAAGACAGTTGAATAGCTCTTTTCATGACCCAGATAATATGGTTGATTAGCGGTTAATCTCCAAATGTGATGTGCATTCTGTATTGGTATGTTTATTGACAATCCTGAGCACAAATACAGGCTAGGCAGAAAATGGATTGAGAGCAGCAATGAGAAGGAATTGGGGTGTTGGTGGATAAGAAGCTTGACGTGAGCCAGCAACGTGCACTTGCAGCCCAGAAAGCCAAGTGTACCCTGGGCTGCATCAAAAGAAGTGCATCAAAAGAATACAGTACTCCAGTGGGGTTTCATGAAAGTGCAGTAGAGAGGCTGTGATTCTGTGATAACGGCTTTATCTGTGAGGAAACAGTGCACACTTAACAGTGTGAAATTGGTCACTTCAGCTGGGAAGAGACCAGATGCAAGAGAGGAGCAAATTTCAGTCAAACTGGATTGGCTTGATGCAAAGTCAAGGCAACACCAGAGGGCAAGCACAGGAATATGCAGTCGGGGCTACCCAGAAGTGAGCTTGGGGTGAATAT